CATGGGAAGGAACAAAACAGATAAATGAAGTTCTAGAAAAATTAAAAACATAAATAATTTCCCACATAATGACATTAATGGTGAGCAGGATGAAAGACATGAGTAGAGACTCTAGAACAGAAACAGGTAAAAATAGATGAGCTCAGAACTATGATAGAAACCATGAATGCCCAGCAAAGGAAAGAAATGGAAACCACGAAGGCCCACATAGGAAAGAAATAAAATCTATGGAACAGATAAAAACAGATACCTAGGAAATTAAAAACTCTACTGAAAAATTTCACAGCAGAAGGAGGCAATGTGAAGACAGAATATCAGATATGGAAGCTAGCTAGTACTGTGGTTAGTGACCATGAAAAAAGAGATTTTTTTGAAAAGAGTAAGGGACCACGACAAATCAATATAGCAACTGGCAGATGATGCAAAGAAGAATGACATAAGACTGATAGGAGTCTCCAAAAAACAAGAGAAAGTAAAAATGACATAAAAAGTTTTCTCACAGAAGTAATGGCAGAAAACTTCCCAAGCACTGGAAAAGAATTTGACATACAGATAAGTCTACAGAGTATCCCAGTCCACAAAATCAGAATACACATGTTTTTTTTTAGATGCACATTGGTCATTCTCTAAAATAGAGCATGTGCTAGCTCATAAAAGATGTTTAAGTAAATGCAAAGAATTGAAATCATCCCCTGTATATTATCAGACAATAGTGGAATTAAACAGGAGATCAGTAGCATAAGAAACTGCAAGAACTTCACAAACACATGGAAACTGAACAACATTCTCCTGAACAGCCAATGGATCACAGAGGAAATCAAAGGAGAAATTAGACAGTTTCTACAATTAAATGATAATGCCAATACAACCTATAGGAATCTGTGGGACAGAATGAAAGCAGTCTTATGAGGGAAATTCATAGCAGTGATTGCCCACAGCGAGCTCAAGAAAGCAACCTAATGCTGAACCTCAAGCTCCTAGAAAAAGAAGGGCAACACAAACCAAAACATTATATAAGGAAGGAAATTATAAGGATCAGAGTAGAAATCAATGCAATAGAGACTAAGAGAATGATATTTAAAGTCAGTGAATTAAAGAGATGTTTCTTTGAATGATTAGACAAAATTGACAAACCTTTAGCCAACTCTATCAAAACAATGAAAGAAAATGCTGAAATCCATGCAATTAGGAACAAAAAGTGTGAAATTACAACAGATTCAGCAGAAATCCAGAGGACCATCAATACCTAGCTTGATAACCTGTACTCCAATGAAATTGAAAGCAGAAGAAATGGAAGATTCCTAGATACATATGAGTTAGCAAAGCTGAACAAAGAAGATTAACAATTCTAAGCATCCCAATTTCAGTGAGAGAAATTTAAAATATAATTAGATCCTGATGGCTTCACTGCTGAATTCTACAAGAAACTTAGAGAAGAGCTAAGGCCACTACTTCTCAAACTCTTTGATGAAATCGAAAGGGAAGCAGTACTGCCAAATTCATTCCTGGAAGCAAGTGTTACTTTGATTCCAAAAGCAGAGAAAGATTAAACCAAAAAAGAGAACTAGATATTAATCTCCCCAATGAAAATCAGGGCAAAAATCTTCAAGAAGGGCTGGGGGTTTACCTCAGTGTTTTTGCCGCCTGCCTTTTAAGTGCAAGGTCCTGATACTGGCAAACAGAATACAGAGGGTCATCAAGAAGAAAGAAGATCATACAGCTTGACCAAGTGGGACTCATCCCACGGATGAAAGGATGGTTCAACATACATAAATCAATAAATGTAATATACTATATTAACCAGAGTCCAGGACAAAAACCTTATGATCATGTCAATAGATACAGAAAAAGCATTCAACAAAATTGAACACCCATTCATGATAAAAACTCTAAAGAAAATTGGAATAAATGGCCTTTATCTCAATAAAAGCAATAGAGATAGAAAAGGAAGATGTTAAACTGTCATTATTTGTGATGATATGGTACTGTGCATAGAAGACCCAAAAAGCTCTGCTAAAAGACTTCTAGACTTAATTGATAGGTTTAGTAGAGTAGCTGGATACAAGGTAAGCACTCAAAAATGAATAGCCTTCTTGTGCACAAGTAACAGACTCACTGAGAGAAATTGGGGAAATAATTTTTTTTCACAATAGCATAAAAAAAGAGAAATTTCTAGGAATCACTCTAAAGAAGGAAGAGAAAGACCTTGACCTTGAAAACTACAGCACTCTGAAAAAATGGATGAAAGAGGATATCAGAAAATGGAAAGACATCCTTTGCTTCTGGGTAGGAAGAATTAACATAGTGGAAGTGGCCATACTTCCAAAACTGCTATATAGATTGCAATGCCAATTGAAATGCCAGCCGGATACTTCACAGACCTTGAGAAAACAATCCAAAAATTCATTTGGAACAAGAAGAGACCTAGAATAGCAAAAGCAATTCTAGGCAACAAAGACATGATAGGGATTATTACAATCCCCAATATGAAAATACACTACAAAGCTACTGTGATAAAAACATCATATACCGAAAATACCTAAAACATTGTATGCCAGTAAACTTAATGAAAAAAAGAAAAAGAAAAAGCAATTGGATAGAAGTCATTATTGAATAGACATCAATGTAAGCCCAGTTTTTACTCTGAAATGTGAAAAAAGGTAGTAGTGAATGCAACAAATTAATTTACTCACTATATCCATACCAGGAAGGAGCAGTTACCAGCTTCCTTAGCTCTGTATTCAAGGAGCTAAGAATAGATTTGGGTATGTAAAATGAATGAAAGCAGAAGGAAAATAGTATTATAATCATGCTGCCTTGTTCAACTTACTTCTAGTCAATCATAATCAAGGATCTGTCATACAGAGAAGTCAGAATAATAAAATATTGTTGGTTCCTCTGTGTTAGTTTTAACTCTATCATAAGATATGCTTTTATTAGACTTGGTATTTCTGGAATCCAGGGTGACAGATGGGAGGATGACTCAGGAAAAAAATAAGTCAAAGGCAGAGTTGCATTAATCCCTTATGTTTAAGGCAATGACTCTAGAATTCTAGGCACAATTTAATGGGAATCTGTTAGAGTTAACCTGAAATCTGCAACAAAATTGAATAAGGCAGGAGACAGATACAAAATAAAGCAAAATGTGAATTTATCTTGTTTTATTCACTCACTGGAAATTTGAAGACCCAAGTTAAAAGTCATTGTTTCAGCAAAAGCAACCTGCAAGTCTGTGTTAAAATAGTTCAAATGTAGAGTCAGTGACCAGATGTTCCAGTAGGTTCTTAAGTTCAAGCCCAGCCTGTGGAACTTAGTGAGACCCTGGTTTAAAATAAAACAAAATAACAAAATAAAATGAAATAAAAGGACTTGAGATATAACTCAGTGTGGAGACCCTGGCTTCAATTCCACATTCCTAATGAACAAGCGAAAGAAAGAATTTGTACCAATACACCTGAAATGAAGCATTCCATAAATCTTGTGAGCTAGAAAAGCAAAATTTACAATGAAAAAAAATGTAAAGAAAACTTTGAGGCTGAGTTCAGGTTTGATCATCTAATTAAGCCAGGGTTCCAAGTCAGCTCTGTGGTTGGTAGCCCTTGGTGGTGGTGCAGTAGCAACCTCTACTGTGCAGGAGGACCTGAATGGAAACCAGAGCAGCCAGGGAAGCACTGGCTGCATCCACAGGCAGAGCCCACAGCCATTCAGAGTTCTGCTCTGCCTGGGAGTGGGGAGCATGATCCTCGCTGTACCTCTCCCTGCCCATCAGTATTGATGGCTAAATTTCATCATATGGTCACAGGTCTCATACTCTTTAAAGCCATGGGACCATGCAACCTTCTACATGGTAATGCATATTACGAGCATTTTATTCTAATCATGGTATAAATTTAAATGACTTGATAGAGACACTTTAGCAACCTGTACTTCAATTTACTTTGTGACCTTGAGAAATAGCAGCATGTCCAATTAGAAAGTCCAAAGGTACATTTTAAAGAAAGTAGATAACATATTTGCTGTTTATCCCATATTTAAGGCTTATTGGATAACAAAATATTGCTAAACATGCTTTTCTCTTGAGAAAGACAGTTGTTGCTGTACTTCTTCATTACAAACACTTACTATTACTTAGCAGTTCTGACTGGAGTTCATGTCTGTTGTCACAGTCCCTCCCAGAGCTTTGAGCACATCCTTGAAATTCCCTCCAGATCATCTTCCCTAGAAATCTTACAGGTTTCTTTAATTTCTACTTGATAGGAGAAAAAATAGTCTAAACATAAAATTAAGAAAAAAAATAGCATGGAAAGATAAAGTCTCAAACATCATAATCACTTCTGATCTAGCTCCTCAATGTTCTTTCTGTCTTCTGCAATGGGAAATATGATTTAAAGTCCCTGATTATATTTGTGTGAATGATCTGGCTTCTACAATAGCTTCACAACTCTGTGGCTTCTTTCTCACACCTAAAAGAAAGGAAAATATAAATTCTGAGGTTTGGTAAATATTGAAAAGTTTTCAGGCATTAGCAACTGTTAACACAGTTGATATTATTATCTAGGCAGTGATAGATTCTGGTACTGAAATAGTGAAAAGTATAAACCTCTTAATTGAGGCCAAATTAGTGGACTTTTGGAAAGAAGAAACCAGATTATAGCTAGGTAGCAGGCAGAGGCTAGATAAGTAAATGTTCTTCAGATTTATAAGAAAATATGTTCACACATAGATATGACACATATATCCCTTCTATGGGATGAGAAGTCTGACATTCTGCTCACAGGATCACAAGTTCTGCACTGAGCCTGCAAATTCCTGTTGAATTCATCTTCAAGCCCTCCCTCATGTGAGTTTCATGTTAACATCCATCTGGAATCCACTTCCAATAATTTTCCCATGGCCCAACTCTGGGGAAAAAACAGCTTTCACAACATCAGTCCTACCATGTCTCTTATAGATGCTAAGCCTGGATCATGGACACTGAGTTCAATTTTTTTCTCCCACAGGATTTGTGCGTCTAAGTGGAGGGCACGGACTTTGTTCAGGGCGAGTGGAAGTGAACCCTGAAGGAGCATGGATTCCAGTGTCTGCTGTGAACTTCACGTTGTCCTCTGCAGAGGTCGTCTGTGCAGAGCTGGGGTGTGCCAAGACTGTTTCTGTCCTGGGGAAGAGAAATGCCAGTGAACATGTGTGGGCTGAAGAGTTCTGGTGTGAGGGGCAGGAGCCTGAGCTCTGGTTGTGCCCCAGAGCACCCTGTCCTGCAGGCAGCTGCCAGCATAGTGGGGCTATTGAAATTGTCTGTGGAGGTGAGACTCACCCCAGGACTTTAACCTTCCAATGTCTCTTCTACCATATTCTCTCTCTCCTCTCTTTCCCTCCTGCTCTTCTCCTTTCATTCTCCTTCTCACTATCCTCACCATCATTTTCCTGAAATTATTGCTTCTTCTCCACCTGATATTCAGGACCCCCATTTTGTATTTTAAACGTTACCATATTTCCCAATTTTCTCTTATGCCTAAATTCTTTCTAAAATTTTTTGTTTTAGTGTAAAATGTTGTATTCACTTTAGTTTTAAGTGAATAATTCTATCTAAATTCTGTCTAAAATATTTTAAACCTACTCTTTAATTTTTACTTTAAACATTTTGTCAATTGGAAACTATTTCTTTGATTTTTAAAAAGAATTTATTGTTAAAGCTTTTTTTCTATCTTTTAAAGTAGTTTTTCTCCCCATACCTATATTTTTTCCAAAATTCCCTTGTTCATAAATGAACTTATTTTCTGCTAACTCCAACATCCATATTATGGATGTTTCTTTAATCATTTAAAAATTTTGTTAGTATGTCATGTAATCTATGTGTACATAATGTCTGATTTTTTATTGAATACTAAAATTTTTATATGATATTTGTATAAAAGTAAATATGTTTCCTCACACTTGAAAAGGTTTATCTCTGGTTCTCCTGGGCAGGTTGTAGAGAGTGATGATTAATCAAGTACTTAAACCCAACTGAGAGTGGAGCAGGAACAAGATGTGGTTGCGGTTCTCAGTGCAGCCAGTTGATCTCTCCTTTGCCTCTCTTCCTAGGATGGGCTCTCAGGAATGTCCTGTTAGATACTGATGACTGTTGTCCAGTACCCAGGAGAATAAGGGAATATATATTCTTCTTTCCAGTGTCTTTGACATTGGATTTTGGCCTCCTGCCTTTCACAGTTTCTATGTCAAGCAAACATTGCAGGAGAAAATCTTCCCTGTGACAGTGGCCCTCAGACCTCCAATTCTGTCATCCCAGGTCCATGTGACCCCAGAGCAGACTGTCTCCTCTGTCTTAAAGACATGGCCATCCCATGTTTCTTTTTTTCTTATTTTGTATGTTGGTACTTTTTAAGTATACAGTACAGTTACATTTATCAGTGAGATCCTGTACCTCTACATGACAGATCTTGTTTCTCATTTTTTCCCCATACCCTGCCCTCCCTTCACCCCATTCCATGTTTCTTGAAATCTAGATTTTGAATTGTTAGCATGGGAACTAAATTAGGGAATTCTCTTCAAGTAAAATAATCCTTAAAGCCATAGGTAAAATTTAAATGATCCTTGCTTTTTGTGATTTCAGATTTTTAATTTTTTTGATGTGTTATGGATCAAACCCAGATCCTTGCCAATACTAGGCAGGTGATGTGCCACCGAGCTGTCTCCCCAGCCACTCCTTGGAATTTTAATGTATTAAGGCTCTATTTGATCCACAGAAATCTAAAATTCAAGTATTTTTACACTTCTAAAGTTGTAGTTGTAACCAGCAAGAGCAGTGATCTACTATGAGCTCTCCCATTCTTTTTTTTTTTTAGAGTGGGAAAAACTTATTGAGGGAAAGAAAGCTTCTGTCTACAAGAGACAGAAGGGGAACTGGAAAGTAGGTTTCCCACTCAACCTAATTTTCAAAGATGTTTTATACACTAAATCCATGTGGTTTGGTGGGTACAAAGTGGGACAAAACTCTAAGATCCAATGGAAAATTACAAGGTAGGCATGAAGTGGGGCAAAACCATGACCAACCAATAAGATTACAAGTACAGTCACCTAGGTAATATTGATGAAATGGGGGCCAAATGGGGGAGCAAGTCACATAGCAAGCATATACAAGGACTTTCAGTAAGGGTAGGGGTCAGGAATATTTCCTGGAAAGGCTGGGTTAAGACCTTGTCCCCCCATCCAGGTGATTGAAACCTATTTAGAATATTAATCACTGTTATTTATCCCCCAGGGAAAGCACAAAGATATAGTAGTGTCTCTCTTTTTACAATTCTGGCCTTCAGTGAATGTATCTTGCTTGTGCTCTATGTTAGCTCCTTGCTGTGTTGGCTCCTTGAGGGTGGCACTAACTGCCTACAAGATATCTAACTAACTTATCTTTCTGCAGTATTCCACCCTCTGAAGAAGTACTCCTAACTGCTGTGAGGGGGCAAAGATTGAAGACAGCTCTGGCTACTTTCAGCTGAAGAGGGTCATAATTGTGATCAGCAGTTAGAGTTACTCTACAGAGGGTCTATCTAAAGGCCTTCAGTAGGAGGCTACTTTCAGCAAGAGGGTCATAATTGTGATCAGCAGTTAGAGTTACTCTACAGAGGGTCTATCTAAAGGCCTTCAGTAGGCACCAGGCATTGTTATCTTTGTAGCTGCATAGCTTTTAAACCTGGAGGAATCAAAACAAACAAAACAGTTATGAATGCATGGGCCAAATTATAAGGTCAGTAGGATTGCTATGAATATAGCCAACAAAGAGGATAAGGAGAAGGTCCAGGGGACCTCAGAATTCAAGTTAGAAGTCATTTTGTACAGTTTAGCAGTTATGAGCTATTTACAAAGTCAATCTGTGGATTCCAGTAAAAGAAGTCTAGCACATTTGTCAGTGGCTCCATTTGTGTGACTGCATGGAGTTTGGCAGTTTCTAGGCAAGAATAAATAAAACTTTTAAGAAATTAGAGTATTCATAATCTAAGCATGAGCACACTACAATGAAAGGGCAGGTTGGGGAGAAAGTCATACTTAGAAATTGAAATAGTGATTGAACTTGCTGGTTTTAGATTCTTTCATTGATAGAGATTATCTATAAGTCTCATACTTTGTCATAAGTCTCTCTAGTTTTAGTGCTAAAATATTAGACAATTTGAAGAATAAATTTTTCTAAGTAATATAAAACTCTAGCTGAGCTCTTATAGATTTTACCATAGTTTTTCCCTAATGATCCATAATCATCATCAGCTACTTGTAGAGCTGGACACTGCCAGAAGTCTCCTATTCTTCATGGAAGGAAGTTCTTGGTTTTATTTTCTATCTCCACATTTTTTTTTTTTGGTGTTGGGGATAAACCTCAGGACCTTCCCTTGTGACACAGGCATGGTGCCACTTGGGCTAAAACCCTGGCCTTTTCTACCATTTTCTTTCTTTCTTTCTTTCTTTCTTTCTTTCTTTCTTTCTTTCTTTCTTTCTTTCTTTCTTTCTTTCTTTCCTTCCTTCCTTCCTTCTTTCCTTCTTTCTTTCTTTCTTTCCTTCCTTCCTTCCTTCCTTCCTTCCTTCCTTCCTTCCTTCCTTCCTTTCTTTCTTTCTTTCTTTCTTTCTTTCTTTCTTTCTTTCTTTCTTTCTTTCTTTCTCTCTCTCTTTCTATCTTTCTTTCTTTTTTCCTTCCTTCCTTCCATTCTTTCTTTTCTTTCTCTTTCTTTCTTTCTGTCTGTCTCTCTGTCTGTCTCTGTCTCTCTCTCTGTCTCTCTCTCTATCTCTCTTCAGTATCAGGGATCTAACTCAGGTCCTTGTGCTTGCAAGGCAGTGGTGGAACCACTATGCTAAATATCCAGCCCTCTCACCATTTACTTATGTGTATCACTTGTCCACTGTTTTCATATATATAAAGATGATAATAATGAAGGGACCCTGGCAAAATTTCCTTATTAAATGCTTTTACAAGAATAATATAGCTTAGCTTTGATGGGAGGTAGGTTGAGAAATACTTAATTTCCCACTAGAAAATGAGAAACCCCAATCAAGAGTAATAACAACTATTGACAGGAAGTCAAACAGACAGCAGATGTGTTTGTGGAAGCAGTTAGCATTCTATGATTTCCCATGAAATCTGTCCAGAATCATCATCATTGAGTATTGTCTCTCACCTGAGTTGCCCAATCTACTAAAAAATGAGACAATCATTTGAAAATAAGTATCCAGAAGTAGAATCTGAAATCTTGACCTGTAAGTGAAATGTTTTTAGATAAACCATAGCCTCCCTCAGGATCCACTAATTTTAAACACTCAATGGCTGTGCTGATAAAACAACTGTGACTTGTCCAGGGCTCCAGCTGCTACCTGAGGATTTTGATGAGCTCAGCTAAGTTCCTGACTTCATTTCCTGTGCTTTAATATCACTCACTCCCTGGTCTATGGCATCGAAGTGGTTTATAAGAAGTCAATTCAGGTGCTGTCCAATTATAGTGTCTGTAAGCACTCAGTCAATGGTGTACACTATCTACTCAGGGTAGGAGTTATCGTAACATATCCAGGACACTTCTCAAAATCCACACAGAGCTCAGTGACAAGAAGTTTAACTTTGGTGAGAACTTTTAAACAATGTCTGCTTGGAAATATTTTTTTTTTAAATTGAGTTTATTGGTACAATCTAGATATACAATACAGTTACATTCATCATTGGGATTTTGTACCTTTACATAATAGGTCTTGATTCTCATTTTTTTCCCTTGTCCCTGCCCTCCCTTCACCCCCTCCTCCCCTCCCATTTACAAACACTTTATTTCCATTTTTTCAGTTTCTCTATTTTTTTCCTCTCCCTTATTACCTCTACCCCACCCTTCCCACTTTCCCTACACCTTTAGCCCTTTACTTCCTATTTCACGTTATTAATTATCTCATTAGGATCCTGTGTACTATTATAGTTTTTCACACCAAAGAAACTATTCGATATTTCATTTAAAGAAATCTCTGTATGAATGTTAAAAATAGGGAATCCTAAAATAAAACTAAAAACGAAAGTAAAAGAGAAAAGGCAATGATGTAACATTAAAATAATCCTTAATTCTGGAGATGAAAATGGTCCCTGAACATATTTAAATTACTTCTTGCTCTTCATCTTATCTTATTCTTTTTTTTTCATTATTTAGAGAATACTTTATTAGTTTCTGTAATCAAACCCACATAGATATGACCTTACATATTTAGTACAATGTGTTACCCCTGTATACCTGGAAAAAAAATTAAAAAAATTAACATTTCTAGACCAATATGGCTGTCCATTTCTGTACAATGCCAACTCAACACAGTAAATTAGGATGACTTTTCCAAAATTGGCAGCACCATTAGTTTCCCAAAATTCAATTTATATATTAATATATATGTATGTATATATATATATTTATATTTATATAAAAAGACAATAGCAGTATGTTATGCATCGATGGCAGCAACAACTTTTCCAGGTTCTGCTGTAATCTGAACAAAATTATAGACATTCAGCACATTCCATAAAAAAAACAAAACAAAAAAAGAAACAAAGTAAAGAATAATATCCAGCAACAGCAAAGTTCTGTTGCTGTTGTGGTACCTGGCACTATTTTTTTTTTAACATCTTAATCATCATCTGGAAAGAGAACATTCTAGAGTAATATCATTAAATGTAGCTCTGATAAAGCATGGTCCCTACTATGTATCATAAAGCAGGTATAAGATATTTTACATTCATAGAGGTATGATACAGTACCATCCTACATCAATAACACTAGAATCAGTTTTCGTTTGAAATTTACTTTGTTTGCAAATAAGATTGCTACCCCTGTTTTTTTCTGGGCTCCTGTCACATGGAGAATTGTTTTCTATCTTTTCACTTTCAGTCTATGGGCTTCTTTTTGCACTAGGTGTGTTTCTTGTATTCAACATATTGTTACATTTTGCTTATTTCATTTTGCCAGTCTGTTTCTCTTGATTGGTGAGTTGAGGCCATTGACATTGCTGGTTATAACTGATATGTAATGACTTATTATTGAAATGTCATTGGCCTTTTGTTGACTCTTTTTACTTTTTCACCTTCTCCTTTTAATTTCTTGCCTTGCCTATTTGATTTGTTCTGTTGGGCCTCATGGTGTTGTTGCCTTCATTGTCTTTTTCTAGGATCTTGTTTAGAATTGCTTGTAGTGCTGGTTTGGTATTCATGTAGTTTCTCAGGTGTTCTTTGTCGTGGAAGTATCTTATTTCCCCATCCATTTTGAAAGAGAGTTTTGCAGGATACATCAGTCTAAGTTGGAGGTTGTTCTCTTTTAATACTTGAAATATCTCATTCGAGTCTCTCCTTGCCCCAAGGGTTTGTGTTGAAAAGTCTGCTGTGATTCTGATGGGCTTTGCTTTATATGTGATTTATTTCTTTTCTCTTACTGCTTGTAGTATTTTGTTCTTCTGTTGGGTTTCTGGGATCTTGATTATTATATGTCTAGGTGTAGATTTTTTTTTTGATTGTAGCTAGTTGGGGTCCTATATGCCTCA